TGAAGTGGTAGAGATAATAATTAAGAGTAAGAACTGGAACAGCATAAAGAACTTCACTTCATCCACAAAGATCTCTTTGATTTAAATGTTATAGATAAGCACCTCTCGAGAGAACATTGTTTCTTTTTGGATATCACAACCCACTAGAACAGGAATACAACCAAACTCCTTTTCATTTGTAACTATCTCAGACAAGTAACATCTTGCGCCCAGGTCTTGTCAATGTGGAGAAGTTAGACCCAACCTACAAGAACGAAAAGTCATGAAAAGACATACAACTCACAGTAAGGGATACAGGATTCATTGGGTCATCTCAAAATGCACCACACCCACTGTCCTTATTCATTTCAGTTATTTTCCTAAAAGACCCTTTGTTTTGTACAGTTGCTTTCCTCACAGCTAAAACAAATACTGCAGTTGTGCTTTGACACACATCTGCTGAAGTACTGTGATACTAAGCAAACGGAACTAACCATCTTGTCAGATGAAATGGTTGTGGAAATACCAAGAAAAGGAGCTACAGAAATGGATGATCAGCCAGGAATGAAAAAAGGAAGAGTGGATTCACCTTGCTTAGCCAGTAGTTCTGAGTTAGACTTGGAACTCAGCTCACTCACTCTCATCATACTTGCCTGTATATCACAAATCTACATCTGTAGTACCCTAAGGTAGAGCCCACAAAGCTTGTAAGGAAATAATTCATTTCTTCACCCTGACAACTACATTATATGAAGAAAAAAAAAAAAATCATAGAATAATCTAAGTTTAATAGACTTCTGTAACTCATCTTGTCCAATTTCCCACTAAAAGCAACTTCAAATTCCACTATGACAAAGTTCAGTAGGATATTCAGAATCATATGATGTCCCTACATACAAATTCACAAATTTTAGCATACTGCTAAGTTCTTTAGGATTGTTTTAAGACAAATATACATAGCACAAAGCACAGGATCCCAAAGCCTAGGATGTTCCTACAACACAATTACTGCAACTGCTCACAGCCATGAAGTGACACAAAATTCTTTGATAAAGTTGTTACTGCTTCCTATAAGCCAGAAAGCCCACTCACAGGATGTGCCACAAAATTCAAGTTGGGAATAATAGTCATCCTACTGATATACTGATTTTAATAAAATAGCATTGCGATAACATTGTTAATAATGCAATATGGTAATAATAGAATCATAGGCTGTTTAGCATTGCAAGGGATCTTTAAAGATCATCTAGTCCAATTTCCCTGTAGGGACATCTACAGTTCCATCTGGTGCTCAGAGCCCCATCTAGCCTGACCCTGGGTGCCTCCAGAGATGGGACACCCTTCCCTGTCTCTGGGCAACCTATGCCAGTGCCTCACTGCTCTTATCATAAAAACTATATTCAGTCAAAATTTCCCTGTTTATTTTGAAACCATTTTCCCTTGTCCTATCACCAGAGACCTGCTAAAGAATCTGTCTCCTTCATTCTTACAGCCCCCCTTTAGATGTTGAAAGGCCGCTATCAGGTCTCCCAGAGCCTTCTCTTCTCCAGTCTGAACAGCCTCAGTTCTCTCTCAGTTCTCTCAGCCTCTCCTCATAGGACAAGTTATAATAATAGCTGGACTATAATTATTATTTAGTACACATCCTTCACAGCATATATGTTTTTTTCAGTAGTAGCTGAATGTAAACCACTTTGATGCAAATAAATGACAGAAATTTTCGTTCACAGGAATCATCCAAGATCTGTAAATTGAATATCTCACATGTTCCAGGATGAGAGACAAATCCTTAAAAGCCAACTATTCAGTTTGGCAATACTCTAATATGACCACAGTTGCCACTTATACATCCACTCTGTTTCTACTTTAAGAGTTCACAATGATCCAGTCCTTGATTAGAGGATGTTGATTACAAACCATTGTGCTGCACCCATCAGTTTCTTGAAATCACTCTGATCTCTACCTGCAAATGCAAATTACATGTATCTTCAAACACGAAGGGTTGCATAGCACATTCTGACATAGAGGATGGCCTGTAGCAACAGATAAGCATCGATTTCTTCTTAGTCAAAGCTTCTATAAGCTCAGTTTGATCCTACATTGTCCTTACATATTTGTTAACTGAAATACTCACTGTGATAAATACTTAAGCAATTGGAAAAGGAGTGATTTTCAGATAAGCTTGAAAAATGGACTGTTTTCTAAGTGAGTTCCTTAACACTGTGGACCAGAATTAATTTAAACATTTGTGGCAATTTTAATGGGAAATTACATTTTATGACTTTTATCGATTCCTAAGGATAATTTTTGAAGTTTTTAATGATGACCAATCATAATAACAAAATGACAGCAAAGATCTCAGAAGTCAGAAGCCAATACAATATTTAGCAAGATAACACATAATCTACATTCCCCATCAGAAGACTATGAAGGTAAAGAAACAATAACCTTAGATATAAAATGCATCTTCCACTTCAGAATTAAACCAAATTGATTTATAAAGTAAATGGGCTAAATCCATAGCTAGTTGAAACTGATTAGCTCCATTGATTTCAATGAAGTTGCTGATGTGCAGATTTATTTGAGTTCAGACCTGACTGCATGCACAGTTGGAAAGTGACACCCATCCTGCAGTGCATGAAGAATGTCATGGAGAACTGTCACATCAGCCAGCACAGAAGGCTGAACATTATTGCTGCATTTGGAGAAAAATGTGGACTGAACAGAATGCAGGCTCTTATCTTTAGTCAGGGATTGGCATGCATATTCCCAATAAGATGCTTCATAACAGTCTTGCGAAAAGGTTCACAGGTATATGATAAGTCGTCGTGTTTTGTTCTTGGCAATATTTCTGACCGTGAAGCAGCAGATGTACAGATACATAGTCTTCTACGCAAACACGTTCTCCTATTCAGTGAAGAAAAAGCTGAAGCCAAGGCATGGTTTTGGAGGAAAGAAAAGAACTAGCATCCCTACCAAACATGATACAATCTTTACCCCAGTAATAATCTCAATTGTCAGCAACAGAAGCATGGAGGCTGCATTGTGCTGCCCCAGCACTGTTTGGAAAACAAACTCCCAAGTCCCTTAAGAGTGCCACTCCTATGCTTTACAGGCACAAATTATAATCGTAATTACTTACCCCAGCTTCTCTAGGACAGTTCAGAACAGAAGATACAGATGGCCTAGAGTTAGCTACAACTTCCCAATCCACTGGCTACCCAAAATACAGCACCATGACAAGTCACTTGTCTTGACACAAATAGCCAAAAAAGTCATCTCAAATGACCTTTTGCTATATTTTCCCCCAGTCACCTTCAGCTAAGGTGAGCCTTGTAGATTCCATGTATATAAACAGTAAAACTGTTCACAGTCACTTCTGTTCTTGGAAGGCTGATACACGTCAATTTTCTGAAATGCATACCAACACAAATCATGCAACCCAGTTGGAACAAATTCAGTTCACTAGCAGAAATGCCCAAGACAACTGTTATCTTAACCAAGCTTTCCTAAGAAACTGCTGACAAGCATACACAGAAGTCTACTCTCAGTCTGTCACTACCTGTGACAACAGGAATGAGATCCACCTACGCTTTCCTGCCACGTTAAGTAAGCAGATGGACTGAAGCCTAGAAGAAAACATGCCAGGTCCGCTTCTCTTTCCTATGGCAACTATAGAAAATCACTTTGCAGTGTAAGGTGCAGAAAGCAGAATAAACAAAAGGCAGAATAAACAAAAGGTGAAATTTGTCCTACGTTTCCCATCCCTGAATTGGGTCAGGAATGACACAACATCAGACATGCAACAATGTCTGATGTGATTAACCAAGGGCATTTCCTCGTGACACAGCAGATATGCTTTGCAAGAATGCTCCAGTCTAAATACAGCCTCCTAGCTAGTTTGCTTTCTGATGCTTTTCAGAAATCTTTTCCATTCAGCCCAGATAAAACACAGGTAAAGAAGGCATCCCTGTGAGAAAGGCAGCGCATCTGGTCCTTGCTTTGTTAGGAATTCCAGAGCAGAGTGTTCTGATCAGCTTTGCAAGAAAAGTCGGATGACTCTTTAAGGTGCCTTTGAACTTTAAAAGTTTCCCCTCTCCCTTTACAGTTAAATTCAGAAACTTGTCTGCTCTTGGGGCAGGGATATCTTAGCCCTTATCTAGTACTACAGCACTGCTGGGAGGAGGAAGGTCCAAGCACCTTCAGTACCAGCCCAGGCTCCTCTTTCCAGAGCATGGGTAGATCATAGTATATCTCCATTCAGGAAGGTTATTTTGAGTTCAGTTTTGCATCTGCACACTGAGAAAATCTTTATCTTAAGCTAAAATCATATGTAAAACCCATAATGCACATAGTAAGCAACAAAGCTGAGGAATACTCATATCCAGCAGCAAACTCAAACAAGAGTGAAACAGCACATCTGGAGTAAGCATAGAACTGACATTAGGTACAACCATCTACATCACTGGCCTCTGAAGAGCATTACAGTCCCTGGGCCATCAGATCTAAGGAACAGTGTCAAAGCAGTCTTTGCAAGAAGGGATCACTGGATGTAAGTAGTTCAACTCATACTCCAAGACTATCACTGCCTACATTTTAGGACAGATGCAGCTTCATCAAGTCAAGGCTTGAAAACATCCAGAGTTGGTAACACAAATTCTCAGCAACCTGACCATGACTATGCCACCCTAACAAGAAGTAGATTTTCCTTCTGTCCCATCTGAACTCACAAGTCGCAGCCTGGGGTCAGGGACCACCTCTCTTTGTCCTACCGCTCTGTTCCTACTTGGAGAAGTTTCAGTGCATCATCTGTTTGAGATACATGATGATACGCGGACACAGCACGCGAGTCTGCAGTCATCAAAATAATACACAAGTCAACACCATGCATTCATGCAATACCACACGTGCAGCTACACAATGCTACACTGCACAGTAGAGAGGCTCACCATGCAATGCAGGATCTCCACACACTCCTTGTTGCACCACATTTTAAGAAAGTTAAGAGCTGCTATACTTACGTCATTATCTGAGTCTCTATGCCAGGATCTACAAGGGATCCATCCACAAAAAGAGGTGTTGATGTGAAACTGTATTTACTCCAGGATCTTCCCTCATCAAAACTCACCCTGGGGTAGAATCAGACAAGATTTATACATGTGAAAGACTTACTTTAGAGCAACCGTGGCAAGTGAATGTTGGCTGAAGTCTTCAAGACCCAGCAGCTAGATTTATAGACAGGCACCAATCTCCTAGCCACCTAATTCACATTCTTGGTATATTTTGAATGATCAAAAACTTATAAACACTAGCAATAAGAAAATGGATATTCTTGGTCCAGCTGTACTTCAGACCTCAGAAGATAAAGGGGCATTGCCAAGTCCTGTTTCTGGATCTACAAGAGCACCTGGCATGGGGAAAGGCTCAGTGCATAAGTAGCCCTTGTCTAAATGCATGAAAATTGTTGTCAATACCACAGGATTTTTCAGCCCATGTGTGTAGCAATGGTATTAGCTACAATCTCTCTATCCCTGTTCATAGTTACCCCTATTCCAAGAAAGGTTCCCAGTACCCAGGGCTAATTCACGGGGACAGGTCCCAGTTCAAAGATCCTGGCCCCAGTTATCCCCTTTGCTCCTGTCTTCCTGGCCTTAGGGGAGCTGCCAGCCTTCATGTCACCCTGTTCCAGAGAATGCAGAAAGCAGTCAGAGGAAGGTATGCATATTGCCCATTGTATCTGACTGTTAGCCTGGCATGCAGCATACAGCTCCTAAAGCTGCCACCCAACAGCAACTCTGAGATCTGTGAGGTTTCCCTCTGCCCAAGGCTTCATACAATTGCTTCTGCAAATATCTGCCCAGGATTTTATCCCCAAGTTCTACTGGTAAAGGGAGAATAAACAGAGAAACACAGAGGTTTATTGGCTCTGAAATTATTTGATCTCTCCCAGCAGGGTCATTTGAGAGTTCTCCAAAGTACCTGAGCTGTGAAAACTGACAGATTACCTTAAAAGGACATTAACAGAGAGACAATCATGGCCTAAATATCTTCTCCAAGCAGCAGGAAACACTTCCCATTTTAAAGTGAGTATAAAAGAGGAATTTGCCTTATTTTCCAGGCAAGGAAAGTTTAGGGGTGCGTGTAAGTGTGCATGAGCCTGAGTAGGTGGATTTGCATGAGAGGGTCCTACTGGAAACTAAGCCCTACTCACTCCAAGTAGGCAGCATCGGAGACACAGAGATACCATCTAAGGACTGAGAGGTCAGTGCAAACAACAGGTTATACTAACCTGAGTTAAATAATGTAAAAGCCAAGGGTTTTTTTTTTTTCTTTTTCTTTTTTTTTTCAGTGTAGTTACCATTCCCTAAATAACTGCCTCTAGCAGCACTTAGTAAAACCTTCACCCAATTCACGATGCACATCTGCCAGAAAGGGAAGCTGATTATACACCAAAGACAGAAAGCTGGAAGAACAGCAGCATACAAAAAGCTTATCTGTCCCAAATCTATTTATTTAAATGTATGTATCTTCCTGTACACCTGTGCATTTGTATGCTCTTCTGCCTGCATGCTTATCTATCTAAATAGCATTTCAATTTCTGGGGAACAGCACACTTCATTAGGTTAGCTAAAGTTCTCTCAGCTTTTCAATTATCTGCACCTCTTTTCTCTAGGATGAAACTTACTGTACAATGTCTCAGTCTGAGAACTAATAGATATACATATACCCTTTAATTTATTCCGCTCCTGTTCATAAAATGGGTGTCTTCTGAGGCAATATAAAGCAAATATACTGCATTCAGCATTTCATGAGATTAGGTAGAGAGGAAGAAATCTGAAAGGAAACTTTCCAAGGCAGACAAAGGCGAATCGGGTTCTCAGTTCCTATGCAAAATTCACCTGTGACCAAAATCTTTCCTGAAATCTAAGTACGTGCTTGTACACATAGTGCACTTGTTAGATCCAAAGAGCCTCCACAAGGAAAGGCAATTAAAACAGTTACACCTTGGTTGAAGAATTTAGCTATAAATGGTTAATACATGCCTCAGAACTCTTTCAAAAAGTGGCTCACCTTTCACTCTTCCAGAGCTCAACTTGTCACAGCCTGATGCACCTACTGCTGGTGACTCCTACCCTTGGCTAATATACAACTCTCCTGCCTTGGCTTCTACTTCACTTGTTTTAAAGGCTTGGCCATGGTCTTCTTGATGCCCTCTTTCCTGAAGAAACTTGAAGTATGGCCATGATTACCAAATTACCTAGCACAGGCAAATGTTTCTAGTCACACCAAAACAACACACTAACCACAAACAGAAAGATCCTGAGCAGAAAATAGCTTTAGTCTGCTGAGAGCATCAATGGAGGTCTACCCTGTATATGTCCCAGTTATGGAGGCTGTTGGCAAGGGGATGGTGGCCTAGACTGACTATCTTAGTGGTCCTGACTCAGAATCGTTACTCTTAAGTTCTGACTGCTACAAGTTTGCTTATGATAAAACAGAAGTGAAATCCTTTAGGAATCAGTAACATTTAGCAACATATCTTTACCATCCTTAATTTGGAAAGGGCATTTTAATACTAACTTCTGAAAACAGAAGACAGAAGTGATGGAGACACCCTCTGAAATAGTTGGAACACAAAGCCTGGCTTCTTATTATGTATGATCCACTAGCATAAATAAGCCCCACCTGAATCATTGTAGAATGTTTTAGTGCTAAGAGTAATTCACATATGTAATTACGTATATAGCCATTTTATTTGTATAAAGAATGATAATCATAGTATAGATCAATAAAAACAAATAAACATGAAAACATTTATAAGAAAAATCTAATTTGCTCATTTTGTAGGCACCAGAAGAGATTGACCAAGAGATAATAGCACCACTGTCTCACACCCATCAGGAAAACTTGTCAAAGTATCAAGTTTACTTACCACAAGTGTCGGATGGGCGTTGATGTGTGTTTCAGAGCCACTAGTGCCCCTCCCCAGTCCAGAAACCACACGTTATACTCCTCCTCGAAGATCTGCAAAGCAAATACTGCATGAGTGTTCCACTCCATCAGAAAAGGAAGACCAAGAATAGCAAAAGGCTCTATTCTTTCCCTCTCTCTGCAAATCATACCTGCCTCCAGGAATTCCCACCATCAGAAGAGATGAACATGCCAACATCAGTGTAGGAAAGCTCAGAGCCAATATTGCCTGCAAAACAGATGAGTGTCAGAAATTCTTCTGTGGATGAACACAAAACTGCATACAAAATCACACACCCATTTGGTGCACATAAATCAGAGTAGCGGTTGAATAGTGGTTAAAGACCCTGACCACCAGATATTCCACTGCACACATATTTTTCTCTGAACTTTTAATCTCTGCACTCTGGCCAGCAAGTTGAACCTCTGTAATCTGCCAGTCTTCATCATGCGTAATGTAATTATGTCTGTCTCTCTCCCCTTCTTGTGCAAAGGACAGCATCCAAAGATGCAACTGAGTTTAAAAGTGGAAATTAGGCACCCACTGAAGTTCATGATGACGGGCCTTGGAAGCGCACTTGAGATTCTGTTAAAATGCTTAAAAACTTAACGAATCTCAGAATTTGCAGTTAAATAAACAAAGTTTGTTCCTGGGTCTGCTGATGGCTTGCGATTAATGAGGACTGGGACATAATGAAACGTCAGTTCTCTTTAAAGGAAATCTTGATTGTTTGGGTCTGAAACTCAGCCAGGGACAGGAGCAGTGCAGGAAACTAATCTGGGTCAAAAAAAAAAAAAAAAAATTAGCAGAGGTAGAGACCAGCCTAAGCACCATTCTATGAGAATACTGATCATTCTCATTGACCTAACAAATTCTAGGGTTCTTAATTTTAATCTTGTAATTTCCATTATGATGGTGTGTTCTGCAGACAGTTCTACAGAGGGAAATACCCAGCCTTCACCACGTGTTAGGGAATGGATATGCCACACATCAAAGCAATGCAAAGTTCAAACATCAGCCTGAACCGTCTATACAGACAGCCCTGCAAAACATCATTTGGAGGTGCCACCTCAGAGCTTGAAACAGATTCTTTCAAAGGTACTTCATCCAAGAGGCATACAGAACCTCATCTCTCACATTGATACATCTTAATTCAGAGTACATAATGAATTTGTACTGAATCCTCAGCCGTCTTGAATTTTGAGCATCCTCTGAAAGTTCCACAAGTGACATGGTAAGTATCACAAGTGATAGCTGAAAAACTTGCAAATGGTCTGAACAAACCTCCTTCGCTTATCCCCACATTACCCTGAGGTCAGCATCTTGGTTCTGTTTCCAGAATTAAAATGTCTACAAGCACTAGGGTTCACCAAATAATGAATTTAGGCCTGTTCTAAGTCAGTTTACTTAGACCTCCCTGCTTCCCAAAGCAGCCAGTGGTTAACAGAAAAGCTACCACAGTCACCCTGTTTTTCCTGATAGCCTATCAGCAACATCTTCCATCAGTGCTAGGTGGGATTCTGATTATATGAAAATCTGTCCCACAGGAAGCAGGCAGATGTAGCACCAACATTACCAGAAAGTCTCCCAGTCACAATGATCAACAGCCACGATCAACATTGTGGTCAAATCCATAATTCTTTCAAACACTGAGCCACTCGTATACCTTACAAGAAAGACTGGTTTTAAAACAATAGTGATTTCAATGAAAAGAAGGAAAAACTAACATTTCTTATCCAAAAATAGCAAAGGGAGGGGTAGCACTGCAGCATCACATCTGTAGCATCAACAAGAGCATAATAAAAACACCCTAATGAAAATGTTAATTGAATTTCTGACATTTAATGCTGGAAAATGAGAAACTAAAACCCAGCTGTGGGTTGACGCATTCCCAACAGCATCATGGAATACAGCTAGCTCTATTATTGTGACAACAATATTTCCAAAAATGAAACTTCTAGCTCTGGGAAGAAGGGTAATTCAAGAACGACTTTTCCATTAGTGCTCTATCATAGGAAATGATAATTTGCCCATTTACCTGATCTTCCTTCCTGACGCCAGCAAAAATGACAAACTATTGTAGACGAAGGTACAAGAAAACTCTACCATGATAAATCATATAAAAGGTCAGTCTTTAGGGACATCCAGGTTCACAAGAACAAATCCACAATAGTTCAAATGTCTCCTTAGCCCAGTATATTATCATGAGTGGAAGTCATCAAGAATTACCTGCTGGCTTAAATATGGAAAAGAAAATATTGCACAGTAACCTTTTAAATATCAAAACTGGAAGGTGAACATTCCAAATAGGGATTTCCAAATTGTGGCAGGAAAAGAGTAACATGGTGAGGCTGTGTTGATGTCACTTCTCCCTCTTTTACAGTGTAAAGTTTTTCCATAATTTTCTTCATTCTTTCCATCTACCTTCATTCAGTCATATGGATTCAAACCTTACAAAACATAACTAGTTCCCAGACAAGTGAAGGGGATTTGGCAGCTGTAGAATTAGATATTAAAACATAAGTCTTCCTTCTGCAAGAATCTAAACTCTGTATGAGCTTCCAATCATTGCTGGAAATGCACTGCTGTAAATCATATAGTAAGACATTGCTTAACAGAGAGTTTGAGCAGTGCTTATTCTGAAACATATTTGCTAACGTGTTGATACACTCCTGTTACTGTGAAACTAGTTCGTGGAAACAGATGCGTATATTCCCAACAGGTTAAAGTTCTTATTGTACAAAAAAATAAGGCAGAAATTCTGCCTCTTAAAGGTTAATTGTTACACTGGGAAAGCATTCATCCCATCCACTATCAGTTTGAAAAGAACCACATTTACTAACAATGTTGATCAATGTCTAGAATCTCACCGTTCAACTTCCTCTATTTGCTTCCTAAAAGGCTAAAGAAAAATAAGTCTGCAATCACAGCACCCTGAATAGGCTTGCTCCTATGCATTCATCTAGCAAGTGTGGCCTGCCAGGAGTGATGACTCCACTTGGCTAAGCGTAAGAAGATCTGGAGGTTTAAACCAAATTATCTCGCCCTGTTTAGCCCGGATCAGTGAACTGGAAATCACACGGTATTTCCCTTGTGGAGCTATAAATGCCATGAAGGGAACCTGTCTTTTAGGTTCTGGCTTAGTCCAACAGACACGTGGAAGTGTGGAACAACTGTTAAAGGGAAATGACTGTTACAACGTAAATTCATACAGGCAGTATGCTAAAATGGCAGAATTGCAAGCCACTAATGAGCTGAATAAAGGAGATACAGTGAAGAGGAGATCAAGTTAAAATGAGCCTTGGAAAGAACAGTTAAGTTACTTAAATATATTTGAATTTACATAGGAACATCCCTGAGAAAAGGCAGGACAGCCTACCTGCTTCAGAAGCCAGTTTTCAATAGCAACAGCCATTTAGCGAGCACTTTGTTACCCTAGCAGCTCCCACAGAGCTGTGGGAGCTCTGAGCATGGGTGAGATCTCCTCTGTCCTGATTAGGCTGCACACTGTATGTAGGCAATAGAGGACAAAAGCGCCCATGATGGTTGTCAGATTAATTACAGTGGGTCAGCCATTATCACTGTGCAAGTACTGTAGTAGATTGTCATTAAAACAATGAAACCTGCTAAAGCACCATTTGCACAGCAACAACAATGACCCATAAAGTGCTGATGAAACGCTGCCAGTCTTGGAGCAACACCGCATAGAAAGTAGGTGCCATACACAAGACAGGCACTCATGAAGTCCAGGTTTCACCCAATAGGCTTTGGAAACATTCTGTGCTTGTTACTCAATAGGTGGAAATTGTTGATACTGCCTGGGACTCAGTTCTCATTCATAGTTAACTTCAGCCCTATTCTCATTCATAGTTAACTTCAGTAAATGGGTACAGCTACAATAGCAATTGTAATATAGTCAAGCAAGAGGAATTAATAATGACAGTTGGTAATAATCCTACACAGATTTGGGCTTACACCTGCACCATGGGTTATTGCTCAGAAACAAGTACCTGTCAGACATTACATTTGTTGGAGTAAGGGACCACTTGTTCTCTCCTAGTCCACAGCAGGTAGGAGTTAATTTGAACTAGCTTAGCACTACCTGAAACAGAGCTAAAAACTTTTATATCAACACCAAAAATCTCAAAACACACTCAGACTCCCAAGGAAACATGGGTGAGCACTGAGAAGCACATAAGTCCTTACCTGCTGCCACCATCAGCCCAGGGGCTGTTTCCTTACTGGAAATGCTTCCTGAAGTATATGGATTCTCTGAGAGTTGCAGATGCAAGTGCAACGAGCAAAAGGGCTGTTGACAGGAAACAAACAAAAGGCATGAGTTTCAACATTCAACAAGTCAAATAAAAAGAGGAACCTTTGTTGACTGAAGACAGATGCTCTAGTCCTCCTGAAAATACCCCTCTACTCTTAGCACTGTTACAAGCATATGTTCATTTTTTGAATTAGCACCATAGAAGTACCTGAGAGCATTAAGAAGAAATGAGAAAAACCTGCATTGTTTTTTACCATCAATCTGATCTAGAGTACTTTCCACTAAAGACTTTCATATTCTATTTTAAGTTGCGTAAAAAAAGTTGAAGCAAGATGGTGAAAATTTTCTATTTGTACAGCGTCACAGAATTTAAGGGCAATATACTTAAAGGAACTCTCTTAACCCCTAGCAAATCAGGAGGAAAACACACAGAGAAAGTCACCAGTAAAACACCACTCCTTGGAAACAATGGGGCTACAGTCCCTGTGAAAGAATAGAACATAACTGTTCACCGAATGATGTTGAACTACGTTGCGAATCCAACCTAAAGCTCTTATCTGTAAACTGTGCCCTACTGTGGAGCACCTGACTCTGCAGTTCTCTGACAGGCAAGAATCCCTCCTACTCAGCTTCATTTGAAGTTTTTTTAACCCAGTGACTTATGTAAGAGCCTCAAAAGGAGTCAGCTTTCTGAGACCTTTGAAAAGGTCTGCCACTCACCAGCTGGCAAACTACAGGATCGCCTCGCAGATTGGTGTCTGGTGCCTTCAGCAAACGCCAGTCTCTGCCCTTGTTGTAGGTAATGAATGTCTTGACTTGGTCATCTATCTTTTTGTTAGCCAGGAATATGCCTTTGATCCCTGCTACCTAGGAAAAACGGAGAGAGATGAAAAAAAATATATCGGAAGATCAGGCCAATGGAAAGGCCCATCTGAGCACCCTCAGCAGCAAAAGCTCTCTGCAAAAGCAATAAAGCTATCTCAGTCCAGCCTTGTAAGGTTGTGAATGGCATTACAAGTACATCTTGTTACTTCCTACACAGTTGAAAGGGCCTTGTGCCATTCCTCTCTCTTTAAGAAAAAGACAAGCGTACTCATAGAGCAAATCCCTATCAAACAGTCCACTTACAGATTTCCCTAAATGGCTGCAGACAGGTAAGTGATGAGCTTGACAGGACAGCATTAACCACCTCTCACATTAGATCTGTAATCCTGGAGATGTGGTCCACTTCACTCCCTCGTCAGATTTCCATAACATGGAAGGCAGCAGGTCACACCAGAAGCAGATGGGATCTGTTTGTTTCAGGCTTTTTTTTTTTTTTTCCTTCTTTTCTTCAGAATTCAAGAAAACCTGAATATGTCTAAACACTGATGTTTTGCAAACTTGATTTTCCTCCATTCCCAAATTCTGTCAAAATCAACCCAGTTGTTCCAAACGTTTTGATTTTTGTCAACAGAACCAATTCCAACATAAAGCACTCCTGCCAAAAAGGACTGCATTTAGGAAAAAATGTTCCTAAGCAGATTTCATGTTGTTTGGTCTCTATTGCACAGCTCTGAAAGTGAGACAGGAAGGAGGAGCTTGCTGCAAATCTGGAACTTCCAGGCAAGAGCCAGGATGCAAATACTTCCAGCTCTAAAGACCCTTGAGTGACACTACCCTTGGAAAGACCCCATGAAAATCTCCATTGGTATTTATCAATAAAGACTAGTACACAAGTGGAGAATATTGACTTTGCCCAGAAATAGGAGATAATGCATGTTTACTTCAGCTGGCTTACCACAATACGGAAGTACATCTTTTTTTAAAGGCAGGAAAATATATTTAAGCAAGCAAGAATAAAATATAAAGCCTGTCCTTTGTAATGATCCATGTGTTACTTGTGTTACTCACTGCCTTAAACTAATTGGATTTTTATGAACAAATTCATGATGTTGTTTAACTGGCATTATTCTGGCTGAAATAAATTTTTATATAATCCTGACTTATGTGAAACTGGAAACACATTTCTCAGTGTTATACTAAAACTTTCTCAAGTTACTCTGCAACCACTATTAGTATTACCAGTAAGTTAATATTGCTGTTTCTTGCTGGCAGAGCACTGAGCTCTGAACCTCAGCAGATCTTTCAGCCAGTAGGATTAATCCACCAAAGCCAGGATGCTTTGACTAAACCAGTAACTGGAGCAACTACTTTGAATGGACAACTAAAAAGCCTAGCAAGAGAATGAGAACAGATCACTAAGGGTAAATGTTATTTGTTATCTCTAAACAAATGACACCTATAAGCTTTTGTTTACAATTCACTTATTGATTAGTGCTTACAAAGGTGGAATTTATATTCCCTGCCTGTGACCAGATGTCTCTAGCTATCCAAAGGAGAACACCTGTATTTCTAGACCTTCTCTAGACATCTAGATTAGAATGAAAGGGACAACAGTCTTCCCTTTTGGAGATGTTATATAGCATATCTAGACATTCACTTGAGAAAAAAAAAAACAAAAAACACAACAATTATCATGTGCATAGCAGAACACTCTGTATCTATCCCCACATGAGTAAGCTTAGCATCAAATTCACTAAGTGCCTCTAGGCTGATTCCAAAACAAATGAAGATCTTGGAAGGATGGTAAGTGATTTACACTTGCCTGAACTGTTGTAGTTCTTGTAGGATGACCTTTACTACATACCTCATAAAGGTCAATCATGACATTCCCCTCCAGTCCTCTATTGCTTTTCACATTTTCCAAGGCCAGAGTGAAGTAAACCCCTCGGGTGTCCGAAACATACAGGTTGTATGTATCATTCTGGTTCCACTCTTGAACAGCTGCAAATACCTGATTCTCAGCTGTGCTTATAATATGCATGTCCTGTACAAAGAAGAAAAAAGACCTATTAATAGGACCTCTATATTTCTTTGCCCTTTGGGACATGTAATAGTTACCATGACTTATGGAAGAATGGAGATGGAGTGTGAATTATAGGTATGTTAAACAATTTTCTGTTAGAGGAAGCCAATAAATTATCACTATTGTGACTTTTCATTTTTTAATGACCACCAGGTGGGCAAAGGGTTTTTCCTTTCTTCATTTTTGGTAGCTTTAAGGAATTTCATCTAGCTTCATTTTTTATTTATAAATTTGAAAGTGAGCTTTATCATTCATGGAAGATTCACAGGCTTGGAGCCAGGAGTTCTCCCATACTCAGTAGATCCACTGTAGCTAAATTAGAGACAATTTTCATCCACATGCTTACCTAACAGACTTTGTTTCCAACAGGTAATGAATTAGTTTAAAAGAACAACAACAACAAAGTGAGTTTACATATTCCTGAAGTTGAGGCATAAGGAGTTTAAGATAGTGTTGGTAGTGATTTTTAATAACATAATTTTCTATGGAATGTTTGTCCAATAGCGACTACCAAACCACCAGACCACCCACCAACCTTTGCTGGATTCCTTCCAGTGATCAGGACACGGTCCGACAACATTTTAGAATTGTTTGAGTTGAAAGGAACCATTAAAGGCCATCTGGTCCAACTCCCCTCCAATGAACAGGGACACCTACAGACTGATCAGGTGTTCAGAGCCCCATTCAGCCTGACCTTGGATGTCTCCAGGGACAGGACATCCATCACCTCTCTGGGCAGTCTGTTTAAGTGCTCTACTGGAAGCTTCCTCCATTAAGTTTTAATATCAAAGATTTGACAGTGCATTTCCTCAGTGTTTCCTTAAAGCAAGTTCACAACCTGAAAATGATTTTCAGTGTAGCGATAAGTACTGAAACACTTCATCCCTGCCACCCTTGCTGAATGAACTAATACTGGATCCACTAGAATCAGAGACACAATGGCTATGTGGGACTTTACTTACCTATAAGTTCAAAATTTTCCCAGGATGCCAAGGAACCCTGATTAATGTTTGGATCTTGCACAACACTTCTAATTCCTTGCAGACTAAAAACATACACAACCTAGACTAGCAGCATGAAAATAAAGCAAATCTCTCAGTGACTTCAATCTGTTTTGATCAGTTGCAGTGGAAATACTGCATTACCCCATTACCAGCCTCACAATTGCACACAGCTCAGGCATAACTCACTAATGTACAACTAATAGGGGAGTTTTTACAGTACAGCAAAAGTTTTCTGATGACTAAGAGAAACACGAACAACTTCCTTTATATGGCTAAATGACTGCCATGAAATCTTACTTAAAAATATTTTTGATTTTTAAATAACAAAAACAATACAGATTTTTTTACTATGCATCTGTTATAAACCAAGGCCACCAAAAAAACCCATTTCAGAGCAGGCCAGCAACCTATGACAGCATCAGTCAGGACACACACAGGGCACTCATTCTCTCCATTCACTTGTCTTTTTATTGATGGGCAGCTTTCAATACTCAGTAAACCGGAAGCATAAATACCACTTTTCTCATGAAAAAGGCAGCGATGTTTCCAAAGCAGGTCAGACATTTGACAATAGCATAGAAGGACAAAAAAAAAAACAAAACTATATTTGTGCTATACAAGTGTCAGTACACTGTGAACTATCATCAACCCAAATGTGAAAAAGTCAAGGTACAGTACTACAAATTTCTCACAGCTAGTAAAAGTTCACAGCCAAAAGCTGAAGCAAGAATCCAGTATATGCTAGGCTGTAGGTACATTATTGGCAATATCCATAGCACCATTCAACTCTGCGCAACAATTACAGAGTTACCACACAAAAATTTTCACTTATGGAATAAAGGGGAAGGTCATTACTGCAGTATCAGTCCTATACAACAGTAGTCTCAGTTACAAAGAGCAGGAATGGTCTGAGCTACCTAGAAACTTGTATCAGTCAAGGCAGCTTTAAGTTTGGTCCCTTCTGCTCTGCACAATTCTAAGTAAGGACTGCATTAGACAATTTGAGTATCATTTCAGGGATGTATTCTCGCTGAGGTTTGACACATTCCATCTGGTAGATAGCTAAACCCTAAGTGAGGAAAGCCAGCACAGTTGTATGAGAAATACTGGCTTCCCTCCTTCCCAGCTTTGCCAGTAACTGCTCATCTTAGGCACTGCCATCTGAGTCATCTCATAAGCAACATCATACAGTGCTCTTATGCATCCAAAGTATCACTAAGACACAACTTCTGAGGCAGTCAATTTTTTTTCCATGATTTATTCCATGATTTATTGACAATTTCCAAACATGGGATGTGGACAGTGGATCTGCTGTGTCTTGTACTCTATGGAACACATTATAGAGACTGCAGTAGTACACAGCATCCTAAGCATTTTCCAGTACCCCCAGTGCTATGAAAAGGCTTACCAGAGAAATCTTTAGTAAAAAGTAAAACAAGACTGGGGAAAACAGTTCATAGCAGATCTGTCCAGGAGGAGTTGGTTCAGCCTGCCTATTTTTTGAGGTACTTGTTCATTCCCATTTGCTCTTAACAGAATCTGCTTTTTCTGAAATACTCACAGATCAAAGGCAGATAAAGATCCTAACTTCATATTTAAGAAAGATTATTCAGGAAGCACAACAAATGTAGTTTCCCAGAGAGGATGCTTCACCACTGGGCAAGCTATGCTATTAAAGGTATTATTTGTTTGTGTTCATAAATGGTGCACTCACCTTAGGAAGAGAGTATTTGGGCAATTTAATCTGTGCAAAAGGCTCCCGTCTGTATGACACATAGTAATTTGCTCTTCCACCAGCTGTCACCTGTGGAAACATCAAAGAAAGTGAGTGATGGCCCTTGTGAGACACCGTATGCTGACACCTCTACGAGGGTTTAACAACTATTTTTTTTCAGATATCTTTTCTACGACCTGCACAGCTGTCCCTGGAAGCCTCTGTATAACTCCATCAGAGAAATCCCAGACTTGTGAGGGTTGGACAATTATTACTTAAAATGGAAAGTACAATGGCACAGCTTATCTCTCATGCTTCAATTCCAGCATGACTTTAATGTTAGGTATCTCACAAAAAAAGTGAAAATTGTGAAGTTTAAGGTCTTGCGTGGAAGAAAGAAAATGACCTGGTTTTCATCACATGGTTTGAATTCAACTACCTTGGCCAAGTAATTTAAAGTCTCTCCAATTGTCTTTCAACAATCATTTGCAGTGACTAACACGAGAGCTGCACACAAACATTATTTAATACAAACAGTAAACGCAGAGTGTTCTCATAAAAAGCTAAGCATTTAGATGCTCTCTGTCCCTATAAAGCTAGCTTTTCTGAAATCATATCATCCCTAAATGAGAACGTAAGGGAAACTGATAGATGTCCAAGTCTGTGGTATTATGGAATGGAGGAGGTGTAAAGGCTGCATACAAATGCCGTACATCGATACATCGATGAAATCTAGCTCTGATAATGTGCAATATATGGGATTTTAAACTTGTCACTAGTCCTTTACTCTTGTCATGGGTGTTCTTTGGCACCATTTCAGATCTCACTACAACCAGGCTTACATTGGTGAGTTTTCTATATCCTGCTGTTCTGGCAAGCTTGCAGTTTTTGAGATAGAACAATAACACAAAGCATTTATTATATGCTTTTGTTGGCTTCTATGGTTTCCAGTAAAGCTAACAAAGGTCCATGATTCTTTTCTAGATATACTCCTTTTTATCTGATAGTGATATTTCAGAATAAGCTTACATGGAATATTTCTATAGCATCAATTATATTCTCAGTAAGATATCACCTCTAGATAGTAGCATTCTTCCCTAGAGAAGTTGTCATTTGAAGGACACTATATCACTGGTCATGAAATTTGGTACCTAATCTAGTCAAGATAAGGTTTTTCTATTAACAGCTTGAAAAACTGGAAAGAAAATAAGGTTTAGTAATAGGACAGGCTGCACACATAGAGATTTCTCCTTCTGCCTGTTTACCATTCTTACTTGTAATGTTATTACAGTCACATTTATTACTCCCAAAATAAAAAATAAAACATAAAAAAACAATCATTATGCCATATATCACATATGAAGCCAGGAAAAGCCCATATCATAGTGAACTGAAATTATAGACAACATATAGCTAAAGCCAAGGTGAGATAGAAGTGCAAATGAAAAGCAATTTGCCTATAGTCTCAAAACAAGCCAGGAGCAGAGAGAGAACAAGAGTCACTTGACTCTCACTGCAGATAGAGCTCATTGCGGACTGACACAGCAGCATCTATGGGCTCTGCCCTCCAGGTGTGAAGATAGTGAAAGGGCTGTAGTGTTATTTTGAAAGGATATCTTTCCCATCTAGTATTATCTTACCAAAATCAAGTTTTTATAGTGAAGAACAAACTATGCTGTTGATACACAGTCAATACAACTTAAAGGATAAAATTAGTATCTGCAGCAATTGTATCTCCTTATCAAATGTAAATACATTGCACAAAGCATCATCACTTCTAGGTGATTCTACCTTAAAAGCACAGGGAATATTTCAGTATCCCCTATTCTCTTGGTAGTATTTCTGACCTGCACAGGAAGACCCACATTGTAACTGAGATAACTGTGCAGCATCAACTTGTTTTACACCACTTGTGACCTCAATGCCAGCTTAGTGTATATAACAGGGTAAAGACTGCAATTAATATGTCCAGAGACTACTTGGCTAAGTCCCTGTGCTCAATACCTACCTCTTCTGATGGACTGCGACATAGGCATTGATTCTGCTTTAAGATACAGATAAGAATGTTTATATACTTCACAAGGATGCTATAATGATTAATTAACATAGGAAACAGCTCACAATCCAAGATCAAGGGGTGATCAAATTCCCCCAGCTCTGTGCCACAAACAGGTTCTATTTCAAATCTGCCACACCCATTACATAGTTAAAAAGTTTCATACTACTGCAAGTGTATGCTTTTTGACTCTTTAAAGCAGAAACTTTAGGATTCAAACACCATTCAAATTCACTGTACATTAGATACACTCTCTTTCAGCACTCTACCTAGCAATAAGGTCACCTTGACAAAGGTTTAGAAGTAAAAATCTTTGCGGCCTGCGATCTTTCTGAGCCAGTTAATAGGAAGCCACCCACAAATTCCGTTGGCAGGAGTTGCGTGAAGATTATCTCAGCCAAAACTTCATTTTTACATGATTTACATCCAGGGTTATAACTGTTCCAAAAAAAAATGATCAAGCCTTCAACAAAATTTTGGCAAGCATTGTGGTAGAGAATGAATTTTGGAAGGACCAACTTAATTTATTTTGATGAACTTTCCCTATGAGCAAAATCTCAGGCATTGTAAATCCCAGAGATTATGATAGTGTTATCCTCTCTAATGCCCCCTCTTAGTTTACATTTGATGAATGTCACACAATTATTTGCTGTGAGCTCATCTGTCATGCTCAGTACAGAATTAGCTGGGTTTGTCTTTTTTCCTTCTCCTTTGCTAATGACTGGCTGGTTTATCTGTTTTTCTCGATTTCTATTTTATGTGTTTAATTGGCTTCTGGTCAGTGGAAATGATTCCTTTGGACAAACGTGTTTGCCTTTAAACACATTTATCTTTCCCAACCTGTATTCTTCCTTCCTCCTTCCCTCTTTCGTGATCTACTAATTCTTCTTTAATACTTCCATGTTCTGTTACAAGATGAAAGGGTGGTCTCACATTAGTTGGCATTTAAGAGAAACGTGAGAAGTTTCTCTTTAAAAAACATAAGAGTTCTGATCATCTATAGAATACTAGATCATCATCCATCCCAATTTGCAAAACACAGTACATTAAACACAGAAGAAAACAGAAATATGTTCACAAGGCTCCAGAATACTAGAAAATCTGTCACAGAATCCATTCATCTCTACAATTTCTGAGACATGCTTAGAAACATTGATACGGCTCTTTAAAAGCAGATTTGGGTTTTACCTAACCATAAAACAAAAAAACACATTTATCATTCAGAAGAGTTAGGAAGACAAGTGGAACAAGTTATAAGGAGGTTCAAGAACATAAAGACACCCAAAGTGGTGTCAGGAAAATGAATGCAGCATAGCGAACTTCATCTTAACTTCCTGGCTTGCTGATGCTGGCAAACATAACTTCCAGCATAAGACAAGTACTGCTGTAACCAGCATGGAATGACTAAATCTCCAAAATGACTCTGGGCTCAGCAAGGGCACATTTGCTTCCTGCTGCTCAAAGAACTCACAGAAAGGATAAATGTATGCACTGATGCACTGATGTAGACACACACACACTACATGTCAGAGGCACAGTCTTGTCGTGAAACATTTACAGTGTACAGAGAGCACAGCATAAGACAACAGAGAGCTCTTTTCTATATACTTTATATGCTTGGGTAGTTTACAAGGAAAACAATCACTTGTCCTGCACAGTTATTGTAACAGGACATCTATTTTATTTTTTTGCATTGTTGAAAATGTTCATATGAAAAGAGAATTGGTAATAGCACAGCTCAACCTACAATCATTAAACATGTTTAGACATTCGTAATTCCAGTAATTCACCTCCTACATCAAGTCTAGTAAATGGCAACTCAGTCGATTACAGAACCAAATTTTAAACTTCCTTGTTGACAGTATGTCTTCGGATGTTATTTCCAATAAATTTCTCACTTCTTGATGAAACAGCTAGCTCAGCTTGTAGAGCTCTCTCCTTCCCAGAGAACATGAAATAAGTTGGTAGAAATTAAAATATGAGAAATGATGTATAAAACTGTAATGCTTGATCTGTGCTTTCCACCTCCACAGTGTGCCCTGGCATCTCTTCTCACTGTTTTAACACTAGTTACCCTTTCTCCTTGCAGGCATAAAATCTCCTGAGTCAATTTGAGGATTAAAGTGTGGAAGAGTTATGACAAGTAGATTTATTCCTTAGCAAAGAATTTTGGTTGTTTCAGAGCCAGAGCCATTCAAACAAGAGATTCAGGAGGGATCAACACCTGAATGAGCCCCAAGTAACACTCTTCTTTTTTGACTACTCATCATGGCCAAGACTAATCATCTTCCAGATGTTTCTGTGTGCTGAGCTTCCCCACTGCCGTACATAAGCCACACTGTGGTAGGTACAATCTAGCCTGAATTATTATCTCCCTGTTTTTCATTAGTATCATAGCTTTTGCACAGTCATCAAGGCAACATATAATGACTTGAGTGTGAGGAGATAGAGTTCCACGCTGTAGAAAGGCTTCTATAGTAATGTAGTGGGCTAAGCACACTCAAGCTGCCTGGAAAATTCAGCAGGCTTTTAACACTTACCACACAGTGTCAGACTTATCAGCAAATTTTTGTTAAGGCAAAGCAGCATTAATTATATAGGCCTCATACCCATTCATTCATGTACTTCTCCCCTCAGAACTGTGATGGCACACAACAGAATAAAAAGTCTTAAGTGAAAATACGGGAAATTTTAAAACCAACTCCTTCAGAAAACATGCACAGTTGTACCAAATATCAGCCATGTTAGAGCTGCAAACATACACTACCTACACAGAAACCATCTTAAGAGAGGCGAATAATTGTATGTATTCAATCTCCTGAGGGATTTCAGAGGAAACGTGAGTCTGCCATGGCAATTCTTTACATCTCCAGCTGCAGACACTGCTGATAAATCATATAAGATGTGAGCAGGGTAGAGAGTGATAAAAAGTACAGCTCAAAAAGCCACAGAAAGAAAATATATTTAAGTAAATAAATAAATAAGGCAAGAAGAATGCTAATCTATTTTTTCAACAGATGTTTAGCTTCACATT